CCAAGGCATTTTAAAAATCATGAGATGGGAGCTGGAGATGTAGCTCAGTGGTAGAGTTGAATCCCCAGTACCACACAGACAAAAAAAAAATTATGTGATGGGAGATGAGAACAAGGTGCAGACAGGGCATTGAGAGCCAAATAAGAGTTTTGCATAATGACATTTAGAACCGTACAGGTGATCTTATCTGACATTATTCAATCTCTTGGAGGAGAATATTGAAATCCAGATGTCCAGAGACTTGCCAGGGGTAAGTATTCACAGTTGGCACTTACTCTCTGACTTGTGGGGCATCTCTACCCGCCCCCATGAATTCTGGGGAATTCTAATTCTTCTGTGGAAGTTTTAAGCTCAGTTTTATGTATTAGGGATGGGATGTAGAAAGAAATAACAGACTCCCACACCATCACAGATAATTTCAGGGTTGTTGGAGATGCCAGATTTTCATCCCTCCAGGGCTCAGCATCCCTCCTAGGGCTGACAGGTGGAGATGGACACCACAGTCGAGGGGCGTTTGCACACAGAGCCTGGACTAGGACCATGGCATCATCTAAGAGCTGTGGCCCAAGCAAGAGCCAGTAGGGGGCCAGCTGTCTGTGGAGCCTGCTTTCTCCTTCCGAGGTGCTCTAGCCCCTCCCCAGGAAGCCCTGTGTGTGCAGTGAGCACAGCTTCCTTTACTAATCACTCAGGAGGGATGAATGGGACAGTGCTGGGAGGCATTTCGGCTTTCCCTTCACTGAGCTGGGAGAAGCAGCTGGTCACTAAATGAATGTCCTAGAAATCTGCTGCCTGCCCCCTCTGCAACTGGGGATGGCACCCACATGAAGAAGGAGAGCCCTCCTGTGTAGTCCCACCTTGGCCTCAGGGGCTGGTGGGAAGGGGAGGTCAAAGCTTCATGCTTCCTCACCCCTTAAGCATCCTCTTCCTCATTACCTCTTCTCAGCAGTTCTATCATGGAATTTTCTGGTTCCTTAGGAATTAATTGTCTTTCCTGTTTCCTTGCTCTAAGTCTCTCTTGCGTTCTGCCCTTTCTTTCTCCTTGTCACCACCACTTTCTCTGCCTTTCTAGCCACCCTGAAAAACCAAGCCAAGTTAAGGAGTTAGGGGGCTTCTGCTCTGTTCATTATCTCAGCCTCATCTTTAAGAATTCCCAGAGCCCTGAGAGTCCAGAGACCAGGACTAGAGACCACTTCCTGATCCTAGTATGTGGCTCAATGTTCCCGAGTTGGCAGGCTGCACTGTCAATTCTGAGGTTGTCCATGGTTCCAACATGCAGGGCCACTGAGCTTTCTGAGGCAGGCAGAGCTCCTCACCTGATAACCTTGTGACAACCTTCTTCTCTGCCTGGGAAGAAGACCAGCTCTGTGTGAGCCACGTTCAGTAAGAAGGAGGCTTCAGGCAGAAGGAGTCATCAGGGGGAGATCTGAGAAAGGGAGGTGAAGGGTGTGTGTGTGTGTGTGTGTGTGTGTGTGTGTGTGTGTGTGTGTGTTGGAATGAGGGGTGAGAGAACAGTGAGAACAGAGATGATGGGTAATATCTGCCTAGAGACACCCAAGAACGCCCAGCAGGAGGTGGGGCGAGGCAGGAATGTGTGTGGAGAGTAGGAAGATCACCCCGAGGAAGGCCTGGCCCTTCTGCTCTGCTCACCTGCCTCTGCTCTGGCTTCCCAGGAAGGGGCTCTAGTCCTGGGATTGAAGTGAGAGTCTGGGAGTTGCTGAATACGTGGAGACTCATTTGGTGGAACTCTCGACCTCTGTCTGCTCTGCTGGATGAGCTTCTTCTCAAGATACACCTGATACCTACAGGTGATTTGGTACATTCCTTTATGGTCACTCATTCAAATAAAATGAATGCTTAAATAAACTTTGAGTGTGCAAGACACAAAGCCTGGGATGGGAGAAGAAGAAGAAAGTAAAGATTTTTCCCTCCTGCTACTAGTTCTGGGTCCAACATGTAATTGCAAATTGTATTAAACACAACAAAATGAATAGACTGGTTGCCATGATGGAGTGTATGGTGGGGAAAAGGGGTGCTCAGCTTGGGTAAGGCATATGGCAGGGTCTCTGTGGAGGTGACATTTACACTGCGATGTGCCCCAGTGTTTTTATTGTGAGCTCCTTGAGGGCAGGGATAATGTCTTATTTATTTTTATATCTCCAGTGCTTACAAGAATGCCTGGCACTTATTTTTTTTTAAATTGGCATAATTTTTATAATACTCAATGAATGTTTGATGCATAAAGAAATGATCTCCTCTCTGCAATTGCTTTAAAGTGTGCTGCTTTTAATCACAGGAAGACAGTGATGGCAAACAAATTTGATATTCTTATGGCCAGCCTGTCTTTATTCCCTCCTTTCTTGTCTGCCACTCATTGATTTTTGTTCATATCGCCATTGGATGCCTCAGATGTGTTGAGTCCAAACAGGAAAGAAAACACACACACACACACACACACACACACACCCTGCATTACCAACCACATCTATCCCTGTGAATGTTGCAGATTCTCTCTGTGAAGCTATTAAGCACTTCCAAATAGAGCAAACCTCTCATTGACTATCACATGCCTCCTTAAATGATCTTTGAATTGCGTTTTCTTTTTTATTGCTTTGTGTAGTTTAACAGCACCAATTGTGATTACTCTAACTTATGATAAATCCCAGATCTATAAAGCTCATGTTCATTCATTATTTTCCTTTTGCTCCTTTTCAAGCTGTTATTTTTTTTGGAATATAGTTAGGAGGGGGAAGTGGAATGAGAAGAAAATAAAAAGATACCAAATTAACAGGGAAACAAGTGAAATAGGGGACCACTTGTCCCTGGGTGACAGACGCCCTATTAAGATACTGTTAGACAAAACAAATATGCTTTCGTACAGCACAAGCAGGTCTTTTGTATTTCTTCTGAATTGGAAGTATAATGATCACCACCTTATCTTTAATAGAAGAAGCAGCTAATTGTTCCGGTATCTTACTAATTCCAGCAACTGGAAGAAAAATAATTATTTTTTACTATTTTGCCAATTGTTCAATTTATACCAAGGTATGTTGTGTGGCATGAACAGAGATTTCTGTTTCTTGATTAATATCATGACTGCTATCCCAGTTCAATTATTAATATGTGTGAATTATAATTATTTTTGGATATTAGTATGAGATAATTATAAACCATAAAACAGCTCCCCATGCTTGTGGATGCCTTTTCTTATCTGAAGATGTGTTGGAGGTTGGGCACGTGAGCTTTAGAGAGAAACATGTATAATGTGGCACTGGGGGTAGCAAGGATGTCCGGAGTAGAGGAAGTCCTCCCTCTTCCTCACCTCCATGTTTTCCACCTCTCCAGAGTCCAAGCTGACCTACCTACTGTGCCTCTCCTACTCCACTCACACCCTCCTTTCACCCTGTCTTCGTTTTATTGGTTGAGACTTGTAACTCATCACACATGTTGGCTCAGCTTGCTCACCACCCCTTATCTCCATGGTCACCTAGAAGCGGGGGTCAGAACCCTGGAGCTTGGAGTTTCAAATCCAACCCGTCTCCTGACTTTTTGGCTTCCCCAATCCCTAGGAACCTTGGTGCTGCTTTTCTAGCGAGTACGAACAGCAAGAGAACATGTCTGTTCAGCACCACGGACAGGGGCACACTACCCATTCCTGCAAATGAGAAATTGCAGCCTAGCACTCTTGTCAAGGTGGCAGTGTTGGGAGGGGTCCGTTGAGAAAGAAAGGAAGAGAGAAAGAAAGTCAGTGAAAGAGATTGATGGGCAGGACATAGAATATTTAGACCCCATACTAACTGTGCTCAGCCATGGGACTCCCCTAACTGAGAAGTGGCTTCCAGAGCCTTCTTACATAGAGAGGTGGCAAATGGGGGAGGTGAACGCTTCCTGGGCTTAACTGTGCTGACTTAATTCCTATCAGACTGTCACCATGATGGGTGCTTGTGGCAGAACCATAGCTGGTAAGTGCTCAGGTCTGGAGCACATGGGGTCGTTGGTGTTATAAATGGTGGGCTGGAAGCAGAGTCAGATGAAAGTCATAGGAAGAGGACACTAGAACTCTGCTGTGGTTGGCCTCTGGGGGACATAGGGGATGGAGGTGAGCTTCCTCCTCCTTTCCTGGAGTGGGGATGAGGCTACGGAGGCTCTGAGCCTTGGGAGGAAGGGGCCCAGCTTGTGGCAAATGGGGTTGATGGGAAGCCAAGGCTTCATTTGTCTGACTTTAATGAATAAATGGCATCCCTGGCCATTGTTTATCTACTTTTGAATCCTGACAAACAGTCTGTGGCATCTGATGAAGAGGGTTATTAGCTGCACGAAGACAGATGGCTGGGGATAGAGAGGATTGGTTCTTTATTACAGCAGGCCCATAAGTGACGGCACTTCTCTTCCATCCAAGCCTCTGCGTCAATGTTAATACTTTCTCCAAGTCTTCTGTGACTCAGGCAAGCCTCAGAGGAAAGACCGGGTACAAGAGGAAAGCAGAATGGCTTGTGAGTAGGAGGGAGAGGCAGGTCAGTGGAGTTGGAAAAGGACAGATTTCCAAGTGCAAGCTCTTTGAGAATAAAACACTCACATAGCACTTACTATAGTCCAGGCACTGCCTTATTCTTTAGGATTCTCCTAAGTGCTCTGCAAGGTGCTATTTATTCAATAGGCATTCAAGAAATGTGAATGATTGAAGAGAAGGACAGAGATGTTTGGATTAGAAAGATGAGAAAAGCAGATTTAAATGGCTGGGTAGGTGGATGAGGGACAAAGCTAGGGAAGAGATAGGCAGAGAAGTAGAGGACCCAAAGGGAAGAGGGTTGATAGCAAAAAGAAAAGGTTATGGGTCAGCATCCTGTGTCTCTGGCATTAGCTGCTCTTCCCCATGTTACTATGCAGACAGGTTCCTGATAATCCATCCACTCTCTGAGATGTCTCAGGTTCCTCTGTATCATAGCCATAAGACATAGTTCCTTCCCTCACATCACCCCTGAGACAGAGAGGTTCTCACTGACCTTCATTCATTCTCCGAAACTTGTCCTTGGCCATATAGCCCAGCACTAGACAGCATCCTCTCTTCTGGAGGCCCAGCTCTGGAAGGAAAGCATAGGTGGGTGAGTTGAGAATGAGTCTGATATCAGGGGAAGCCCCTCTGTAAGAGGCTGTGAAGTTTGTTGCTCTTATAAACAGGGTTTCTTATTTATTTAACAAACATTTATATAGCATTTACTATATTCCAGGCATAATTTCAAGTCAGTAGTTCTTATTCGTGTCTCACAACATCATGCAAGATCATTTCCCATTTGATATCATCCCATTTACGAATATATGAAGTAAGTAACCTTAGATGAATGAGCTAGCAGATGGCAGAGACAGAATTTTGAACCTACACCGTGTGGCTCTGGAATCCATGATCATAACCATTACTCTGGGCTCTTGAGGACCTTTATTACCCAAGCTTAGGGAAAGTGACAAGATCACCTTGGGATTGTGGTCAGACCTGCTAGAGGAGAGGCAGGACTAGTTTCTGGTATCTTAGATGAGAGTACAATCAGACATAGTGGGTACCCCAGGGTGAAGATGATTGGGTGAGTTCAAAGGAAGATGTAGGGGTTGAAGTATAGGCAGAAGGACTCTCTATTTTTTGGAATGGGTGAGTTTCTGGGACTTCCCTATTTTGAGACACCAATTTAGCACTGTTGTCCAGCATTTAAGAAGTGTAGATTAAGAGTTCAGGGGTTGGAGAGCTGAGAGACACAAGAACCCACAGAGCTTTGACCCAGGTAACAAATGCAAGAGACATTTATTTATTTGTTTCACAGTATTTTGTAAATCAGTGCCTATTGTGTGGAGCATTAGAGTAGAGTACATCTGCCTCATGAGATGAGACAGCAAGCTTTCCTCTCTGGTATTTATCCTTTGATCCTGATTTGTCTTAAGCAAATCAGGGTTCTTAAGCAATTCCATACCCAATTTCCCATTTAATGCTCACAACAGCCCCTGGAGGTAAGCAGATGGGCTAATGCTATTCATGTGACACAGATGGGAAAATTGAGTTTCAACAACGTTAAATGACTACCCTTGATTATTTTAGACTCCTCATCTCCACCTCTTTGTGTACATATCATACAAATGTGACAGCTGCCATAAACTGGGAAAATGGGGAGTGTGATTTCTGGAAGAGGGAAAGTGACTCCTGTTTCCCCGAGTTCTTGCCAGGATTCCCAGGCACCTAGCTGCTTCCTCCCTTCTCAGAGGACAGTGAGTGGGGTGTCATGCAAATTCTCCAGGAGACTCTGCATGTGTCTGAGCTCCAGCCAGTCCTTGCCTGGGCTGTTAGGGACAGACAGAGTGGATTCATTCCTCCTCCTGCCTCTCCATCCACTTTCTGCTGTTCAGGTCCCCCCTCCAAGGTAGCAAGATAAAAGGGAGTGTAGGGCCCATGAGAGACAGATAAGTCAAGCTTGGGGGCTCCTGCCCTAGAGAAAAACAAAGTGTGGCAGGCGGTGGCAGAATGCCACGGCCCAGGGAGGTCGCCTGCTTTGATCTCCTGATTCTTTAAAGGGGTTTATTGACTATCAGTAAAGAGCAGAGAGGCAGATCTGAGGGTGCTGTTTCCAAAGGCACTCACTTCTCTTCCTTCCCCTGCACACTCGCTCACTGATCTGAAGGCGCAGCCAAACCGCCCTCACTTCAAACAGCATCACATCTCAGGCACCCAAATTGACGATGTTAAGTTCTTCCATCCAAGGCCTTGGCCCTTTCTTCAGGGGCTCCTGCTCTGTCGAGGGCCGTGTGGATCAAAGCCCCTTTGATGTTTACTTACTATATTTGTGGATTCTTTCTAACAACCACCTCCAAGAGGCAGGAATGCAGCAGGCCAGGAGGGGGCCAGCGGAAATACAAGCTGTGAGGAGGAGGCGCTGAGCTTCATCCAACAATAGCTTCTTGCTGGAGATGGTATTGAAACCTCAGCAAGCCGAAGACAGGCATTAGAATTCTAGGCGTTGCCCATCATTGGAAGGATACAATTGCTGACGATTCCTATTATATTTGCCATTGACTTCTTATACCCATTTAAAGCAAATAGGAACCTTGGCAGTGGTTGCTAATGAGAAAGAGAGTCTGAGATCCTGGACTGAGCCCAGGGGAGTTGTGAGGAAGGAGGGCAGAGGTGCTGGATGGACTTGGCCAGTGCTCCAACTGGTCTTCGGAATAGTCTCCTGAACGTACAGGAAAGTGGAAGGGGGAATAATCCTCCTAAAAACTTAAAGTCTAAGCAACTTGTTCTATTTGATTATCTATGTTGGCTGTCTCTCCCAGTCCAACTCAACTTTTCCTTTGTCACATGCTAAAATGTCCCCTCGGGGTTATTGCCTAAGGAGATGTTTCATGTGCATAGTTATTATGAGCAAGAGTCTCCCTAACCATGTTTGATTTTTGTAAATGAGCAGGAAAAGAAGTTTTAAAAAAGCCCTGATTAATAAAAGAAATTGAGGACGAGGTAATTTCTCAATGTATTTGGCTCATTTAATTTGACACGTGTGGGTTAGTCTTAATTATTTAGGAGGCTACATTACACGACGCTAATAAGCACACTGCAGATATTTATGAAGTGAGAGGGCTCTCTGATAGAGTCTTTGCTGAGAAGTGGGAAAAAAACCACTGGAATCTCTGCAAGAACAAGCAGGTTGGAGGATTCGTCAGGCGAGAATTAGCTAGTTTTCTGTACAGGGAAATTTGAGATGCTCCTTGGAGAGGAATGTGGAGCTAAATTAGAGGTCACTGAGTCCACATGTGGAGGCATGATGCAGCGACAGAAGGCTCGGAGGGGAGGAGAATCTGGAAACAAGTTGGGGAATTGGGCCATTGTTAAAGACAGACTGCAGAGAGAAGTGGGAAGGAACAGGAAGTAACCACTTTGACTTGGGGGTAATTCCACAAAGTCAATATAACTAGGGTATTGACTTCTGTAAATGAACAGAACTGAATAGAGAGATGAAAGAATATGGCAGAAAGAACAGGAATCTCTCACTTTGTGAGGTAGATCAGCCACCAGATGGTCACCTTCCTTGCCATATGGCACTGAGATGGTTGAGTCAGATCACAGATGCCCATTTTGGAACAGCAAGATGATGGGGTCTTCTCCAAGAAGGCTCTGGGCTGACATCTTTGGCTCAATCAGTAGCAGAACCACCCAGATACACTGAAGGCATTCATGGAAAGTGATTGAATGAAGTCCTAACTTAAAAGGGAAATTTATAGCAAAGAAGTTTAGGGTCATCTGCAAATAGGGTGTGGAGGGCAGTATTTGGGAGAACAAAGTTTAGGCAATATTGCCTATTCAAGGAAACAGTTATCAGGACAAGGTATGCTTTTTTTAGGGAGAAAGGAAGCTTGCACCTCTGGGAACTCTTGGCTTATAGATTGTGAGCAAAAGAAGGGTCAGGATTGTGCCTTTTTGAGCTCTCAGTCTCAGTACCGAGCTCAATGTTCCTTACATGGCAAATGTTTGGGGAAAATCTGCTGGCTTAAAGAAAGGGCTGACTAAAAATATCGAGGAGTGATCATTACTCCCCAGTCCAGGTCACAATGAAAACAGGTGGGCTTAGATGTAGCACAATGCATTTAGGGAGGTGAGGATGGTCGTAGAGTGAATGAAACTTGTAATTCATTGGGACACAGAAGAGTTCCGCAACCGGGGAACATTGTGGGATTTCCTCTTGGGAAGAATAAAAAGGGACGGCTTTATAAATGCAATGGGTTTCTTCAGTTTCAGAGGGTGTAGATGGGGCTTTTTCTAGCTATAGAATTCCTTTAATCTTAGTAATAATAATGATGCAGTGATACTACTTCACATTTGTGAGATACTTATTTTTTTCACCGTATTGTCACATTCACTGTCTCATTAGATGCTCTCAGCAGCTCTGTGAAGCAGGCTAGGCAGAAATTATTTCCTCCATTTTGGTTTTAGAAACCAAGACTCAGAGAAGTGAAATGACAATTCAAGGCCAAAGCTCTCGCTCATCCCACAATTCAGGGCTGATTTCTGGCTTAATTCTTAGAGAAAGATGTGGGATCATAGGGCTGCAGTTGCTACAAATCAAGACAGACCAAAGAATAGACATCAGTGGTCTGGGAAAGGGCAGTATTAAAGGTCAAATGGGACCCTCACATTCATGTGTTAAAATCCTAATACCAATACTTCGGAATGGGATCTCATTTGTAGATAGGGACTTGACAGAGCACCCATTGGCAGCCCAGGGTGTCTCTGGAATTCCTGCTTCCTCTGTGAGGACCATGCTGGGCAGCACAGTGCTTGCTTATCACCCCATCCAGAGGTTAATGAGCTGTCAAGTAACTGTGGCTAAGACAGGAGCCAGCCCCTGCTCCTTCCCCATCTCTGAAGCTGACCAGTGCATTGGGATGTCTGCTTGTAGGAAGACTTCCTATCCTGTCCCCAGATTGTCCACTTACAATAGTTCAGATATTATGGAAATTTCACAGTTGTGTGGGCTATTTATTTATTTATTTATTTATTTTTGGGAAGCCATCAAATTCACAATCTCATTCAGTTGCTGAAAACTCATCTTTTCCACTTGGAGCTATTTGAGTTGAGCATGTCTCTAGAGATCCACCAAACAAGAAATCGAATATTATTGGTGTGCAGTTTGGTGTGATTATGGCCGAGAATTGGGGAGGAAAGGAAAAGAGATGAAAGAAACATAGGCAGAGACCAGATCCTGGAGCAGCTGAGAGCCTCCTTAGAAGTCTCAACTTTCTCCTACAGGGGGTGGGAAGCCTAGAGGAAGGCTGAGCCGGGGATGGAGAGGCTAGCCTTGCATTGAATAAAGATCACGTTAGCACGAGTGCAGATGATGAAGGAGAACAGCCCAAGGAGGGAGCCAGCTGGGAGACTATTGCCATACTCCAGGTGAAAGATGATGGCTTTCCAGCTGCTCCCCCTTCCTGCTCTCTGAAGACAGAGATCAGAAAGCAAGTGAAAGGACGCTGAGTTTTCTCAGGGGGACACTCAGAGCCTCCAGATCCCCGCCACCTCAACACAGAGAGCAGCAGAGGGGCTGAAAATAGC